TTCCGAAGCGGGTGTTGTATGCCATGTACTCGATGGGGCAGCCTGAGCACATGCTCCACTTGGGTTCTTTCGTGGCCACCACCTTTTCCCGGTGCCACGGGAAACCCAACCACCTCTACTGTGGTCCCCTGATCACCCGGTTGGCGCGCCATTTCGCCATCAACTTCGAGGGGCTCACAGATTCTTCTGCACAGGGCGGCTCCACCCCTCTCAGCCGGGACGTACTCCACAACGCACTCCTCCTGAAGACTGAGGGCACCCGTACCTGGGTAGATGGGCTTTCCATGCCCCCTAAGGAGGCTGTTGATCTCAACGACGATGAGGAGGACGCTAACTACTCCGGCGAGGAGGAGGATGAGGATGATGATGATGATGATGATGATGATGATGATGATGACGGGGCCATGGATGCCGATAAGCCGGAGCCCTCGCTCTCACCACCATGGGAGCTTCAATCGCGACGGAGACCAGTGAGAGGTGAGTCCTCCTCCGGTCCTTCTGGTCCGTCGATGGCTTCTGGCCCGTCGATGGATTTCTTCACGGAGCAGTTCCAGCAGATGGGACTCCAGTTCCAGCAGCTCGGTCTCCAGAACCAGCATCTCATGGACCATCAGGTCCAGTTCTACCCGCAGTATTCGGCCCATCAGGCCGAGTACCAGTCCAGGCTGCAGGTTGTTGACGGTCGCCTCGGCCGCTTAGAGACCCATATGGGATTCACGGGGGCTCTCATCGAGCGGAAGAGAGATCGAGGCTGCCGACTGATGGAGTACTCGGAGCACCTGCTCCAAGCTTGCCACCCACCGGAGGAGCACCACTGGACCACCCGGTGGGATCATTCACCACCACCACCGGATGATGGAGACGACGACTTCATGAACCAGATCGACTTCACCGGTCTAGGAGGCGGTTCCTAGTGCCATGTTTTGAGTGTGTTTGTTTTTATCAGTGTGCAAACTGTCTTGTGTTGGTTTGGTTTCTTTCTTTTATGTTGGATTATGTACTATTGGGCTGACCATTAGACCTGACATATTGTGTTGAGCTCTTTGGTTTCCTTTTAGCTGTGCTTGTCTTGACTGGTCCTCTATCCAGTCCGCTTAACTCCGACTGGTCCGTTTCCAGTCTCCTGCAGTCCGTGCATACCGGTAACATCGTTCCCCTTTTTCTTCCCTCTTCTCCATTGAGGGCAATGTCGATCTTAAGTGTGGGGGGGCTGTTTATCTTTTGACTGCAGTAGATATGTTTGTGTGCTTGGAGCCTAGTCCACTGTCCAAATTTTTAAATTTGAGGGCTCCAAGTACGTGTTCCTTGCAATTGCCTGCTCAGTATGCTTTGAATTGACAGTCTTTATAGTAATATGCAACCTAGGGAGGTAGTGTAGCACTATGGAGGATGTTGATGCATTTAAGAAGTCTCATTGCTTCTTCATATTGTGTTGGTTGTGGACTCTCTACCTGTCATGGACCCTTGAATTGTGTGGTGTTGTGGACTCTCTACCTGTCATGGACTCTTGTATCATGTTTTGAGTTTAACAGGTGCTCGAAAATGTGCTTCAAAATAACGTCTCCCGTGCGAATAGGGCGAAAGTGTGTAAGGGGAGACGGGAATTTGTTCCCAATTTCCATCTACTACCTCCAGCCTCCTTACATGTCTTTCCCCCGCACGAGGCTCGAGACATCCGCTCCTGGCATGGCCGGTAAGAGCTGGTTGGGACCCTTGGAAAAAAAAACAAGCAAAACAGAAAGAAAAAGGGGTTCCAACCATCTTTAAGAAGAAAGTAGAGCACCTTGAAAAATGTGAGTCCATGATCCTTTGTTTTAGAGAATCTCTTCATCCACGATTCATTTGTCCTCTGTTCACTATTTTCCATGATGCCGACTCGATACTAGTGCTCTCGCCAAAGAATCTAGGAGATGACTTGTGCGTCGGTTGACCTCGTAAGCTGCTAAATGATCTAGGAAATCCTCTACCTATGATCGGGGTTATTTGTTGCTATAGAGGTCTGGAGAGTTGCATTGGTTTGAGTTAGGTTTGCTTGGGGACAAGCAAACGGTTAAGTGTGGGGGAGTTTGATATACCGATAATTACACATATTTTCACCCCTATTCTTGAGCCGTTTGAGAGGTCGACTCTCGGGTTTTAAGCCGATTTCACGCGAGGTTGTGTGTTTATGTCATATTTCAGGACCCGACGTTGGAATCGAGGCGAAGGAACGAGATTCGGGTCGAAAGGAGCAAGTGAGGATTGAAGTGGGCTGGAGGAAGAAAATACCCGGCCATGACCACAAATACCCGGCCGGGTATTATTCTGAGGAGACCGGGGATTTCCCTTTTTGGCGTCTGAGAAACAGGGGGGGTCCCTGTCTGGAAGTCAGAAATCCCCGACCGGGGATTATTGGAGGAGACCGGGTATTTTTCCCCTGGCCAAAACGCGCGTTTCAACTATACCCGGTGGTGACCCAAAATACCCGACCGGGTATCGCGACAGGCAGCTGTTTTAAGGGAAAAGAAGGCTGAAAATCAAGGGATTTGAGTTTTAGAGAGAGAGAGATCGATTCCTAGAGTGAGAAAGTGACGAGCAAGAGTTCCCAAGTGCCCTAGATTGATATTCAACACCATTGGAGGCCAGTTTGAGCTTGGAGAAGTGCCGATCAACGTCCAGAGCAGGAATCCATCCTTCACAGTATGAATTCCGCGTCTGATTCTGCTTTTGCTTCTTTCTCTATGGAGTAGTTCTCTCATTCATCTGGGTATGGAGAACCCTAGATTTGTATGTTAGGTTTGATTGTATGAACCCAAGTACTGATTCTATGATTTGATTATGTTAAATTGAGGTTTGAATGATTGAATGACTTGAATCCTGATCAAATTCTTGTTGTTTCTGCTTTAACCTAGAATGAGAATATCTGCCTAGGTTGATAGAGCATCCTTGATTGAAGGTAGGGAGTTGGTGACTTTAGTCGAGGAGCCAACTCACTATTTTGTACCGGATTTACTCCGGTAGTGGAGGTTTTGTTTGTTAAGGCCTCAATCTGTTTACTCCGGTGGAGGTTAGTCGCCCGCTAGAGACTCAGATTGAGAGGGTCTGAAGACCTTTAGTCGAGACTTCAGGCTGTTTAAGAACCTTCCGCAGTATAACTTTCATAGAAACTGAACTTGGTAATTGCAATCCAGCTTAACTGCAGTCTAGGGGGAACCATATCCGGGTGACCTCTCTTAACCTGAATACAACACTTTACTTGCTTTGTTAGTTTAGACTTGCATTCCAGTTTCATTGCTAGATAACAAGAATTCACCGAGTAGTCATCAAATCTAGGACCCGGGTTGACATATAAACCTAACCCGCTATACTACGCTTTAGGAAGTGGTTTCACTTGGCCAATTCCTGGAGTGACAGTAGAAGTGAGTCAAACACCTAGCAGTCTTAGAGGACAATTTAGTACGTTCACGCTTAGGACGAAGAACAAAACACAAACACCCAAAGACACGCAGTCTAGAATAATCCGGATGACGATGATGAAGTGCAAAAAAGAGACAGAAATTATTCAAGACAGGAGTTATTTGATAATTGATGAGACGAACAGCATTAGCGACAGCCTCAGGCAAAAAACGACCGTGAACTCGAGATGCAAGAAGAAGTGCTCGAGTGAGTTCAACGACATGTCGATGTTTGCGTTCAACAACACCATTTTGTCGAGAAACACCAGGACAAGACATCTGACTCAAAATACCAAGGGATTGATAGACATCATGAAGAGGAAAGGAGCTAAACTCACCACTAGGATCAGACCGAATGATTTTAACAGTTTTACCAAATTGAGTCTTGATCATTTGCAAAAATTCAGTAGCAACAGCACGAAGATCAGATTTCAAGCGAAGGAAGTATATCCAGGTAAAACGAGTGGCATAATCAATAAAAAGGGAAAAATATTTGTATCCATGACGAGATACAGTGGGAGCAGGACCCCAAAGGTCAGTATGAATGAGATGGAAAGGCTCGTTGATAGCAGTCGTACTAGAAGGAAAAGAAATACTAGCAGTTTTAGCTTCAACACAACTAGTACATGAATGATGTGCAGAAAAATCAACATTATTTTTGCCCAGTAATGACTGTCGAAACATCTTTACAAGACGATCTGAATGAGGATGTCCTAACCGAGAATGCCAAAGATCCCAAACACTGTTTGATTGACTCGAAAAACAAGAAGAAGAAAAAGAAGACTGACTACTAACAGGCCTATTGAAAGGACTACTGACGAATGACGACTCTGAAGACTCACGAAGCTCCTCTAGATGAAAGATCCTCCCATGTTTATTCCCCTTTCCGATCTGCCTCCCCGTCTTCAAATCCTGTATCGAACACCCAGACAGTGTAAACAAAACAGAACAACCCTGCTCAAAAAGTTGCCCAACGGAAACCAAGTTGGGAACTAATTTAGGCACATGAAAGGTATTAGACAAAGATACTTGTTTCTCAGAAACTTGACCAATCCCACGAACGCCTATATGTTCACCATTAGCAACGAGCAAGCCCATATTCTTAATTGGTACCACATTTTTCAGGTTACGCATATCAGGAGTCATGTGGTTAAAACATGCGGAATCGAGAAGCCAAGTATTCTTTTTACCTGAACCCTGGATAGTGGCGAATGCAGCACTGATGGCAGTGGGAAGAGAGCGTTGCAGAGCCGCATTTACTAGTTGTTCAACATCGGCAGCAGAGACAGAGTAGCTGCCAACAATGGCAGCTTGAGCAAGTTTAGCAGCATAGGCTGGCCTCCCCCGAGCAGCCCCTGCGTTACTCGCTTCACCTGGGTATTGGGGACGTGGGCGATCCCAATTACGCGCAACAGATGGACGCTCCCAGGAGCGGTCTGAATTTAGCGGACCATTACTTCCACTAGCTGCCCTTGCTTCATTCCGCTGACGTTGGCGACATTCCAATACTATATGGCCACCACGTTTGCAATATACACAATAGTTTTGGCGTTCTGCGAGAGCATCCTCAGTGGGAACAGCCTGTGGACGAAGAGCCACCAGCTGATAATAATGAAATCAAACGGCTAGTACAACACATTCATTTACAGGAGACCAGTTGCCAGCTACATCATCGGTGCCCTATATCACACAAAATTTACTACCATTAGGGACAAGTCAGAACTTGAGGTACCTGTTTATCTACATGCTCTATCATTCAATTACTAAAACATGAGAAATTCTACTTTTTTCTATGTATAAAAAGGTGGGTACACTTTATTGGACAACATCTACATTACTGTTTCACTTCTTGCCGTTTAGTGCCCAACCCTTCAGAATTCCTCCGCAAAATGGCTTGGCCCAGCTTCCTGCGGAAAGCTCCTCTCCGACCCGGCGTTGTTGCCCGCCCCAACCCAGCAAAGACATTCTATGTCTCTGCTGCAGCTACCTACCATACTTTTTACCTCTGCTCCTCTAACCAAAATTATTTCTCCACATTACCTCTTCTTCGCTCGCGCACGCTACCACCCATGTCAACTGTACACAGCTGCTTGGACATGGCACCAACCAAGCATTTGTACGATACGGACCAATCAACAACTCCACTGTGCACTGAGGGAAACATGGGCTTCTCTGGTTTCAATCTTTCAACCTCATTTTGGTCTTCTATTGGAATTGGTATTCTTTCTCTCTCTATTCCCAGATTCACCCCCAATTCTTCCACCACTTTTTAATTTTTGCTTCCCCCTCTTCCCCCTCCATCTTCCTCTATGGAGAATTTGCTAGGGTAAGTGGCAAAACCCTCAAAGCTGCAGGGGTTGCTCTGTTGCAATATATATATATATATATATATATATATATATATATATATATATATATATATATATATCAGCTGAAGAAATCAGCTTAGTTCAGACTGCCACTTGGCAATCAACAACTGGCCTATTATAAACCAAAACTTTTTTTAATAACGGCTAATAGGACTTATGAAAGACGGCGTAGTTTAGGTAATAACAACTAAAGCAACAACAGAACGGTAGTGTTTTGATTCTTCTCCTTCTTCACTTCGCTTCAGCTTTCCAATCCTTCCAACATCAGGATTCCAGGTCAGTTGACACCCCCCTTCAAGTTGTGAGTGCTCTTCTTCACTCCCAACTTGTCCAGAAGTTCCTTCAGTCGAATCCTGTGCAAACCCTTGGTGAATATGTCTGCAAGTTGATTGATTGTACTTACATGGAATAGCTTGATCAAACCAATCTTCAATCTTTCTCTTGTAACGTGCATATCAATCTCAATGTTCTTAGTTCTTTCATGGAACACAGGGTTCTCGGCTATGTGGATTGCAGGTTTGTTGTCACAGTATACAGCAACAGGAAGAGGTATCTTGACATCCATTTTTCCCAACAGCACCCTCAGCCAGTCAATCTCACAAACCAGTAGAGCTAATGCTTTGTACTCTACTTCAGACGATGATCTGGAGACTGTTGTTTGCTTCTTTGTTTTCCAGGTCATAAGAGAGCTCCCAAGAAAGGCGCAGTACCCTGTTGTTGATCTCCTGGTGTCTGAGCAGCTGGCCCAGTCTGAATCAAATAATCCCACAAGCTTCAAGTCTGCCTTACTGCTGTAGTAGATACCTTGATCTGGACAGGATTTGAGATATCTTAGTACTCTGTAGGCTGCTTGTAAATGTCCTGAGTAGGGTTTCTTCTGAAACTGGCATAATTGCTGAACTGATTATGTCAAGTCAGGCCATGTTATGGTTATGTAATGGTCGGCGAGGAGACGACCGTCTCGGCCCCGGGTTCGCACACCAATCGCCTGATTGGCAACTCGCCGCCAAGGAGAGATGAGACGACGGGTAGGATGACGGTACCGAAGAGGGTGGCGGAGTTGGGCTGGACTAATAGCCATCGGGAGGGCACTTCATGGCTGATGTTGAAGACAGCGGATCAGGAGGCGGAGCACGAGATCGGCGCGGCACCTCGGGCCATCGCTGAGGCAAGGGCGACGTCTGAAATGGGCAAACCTCTGGTTTGTTGGACGACTACAGAGGAGGACGCGAGGAAGAAGATGACGGAGACCGTCGTGGCAGCGTCGGCCATCGAGAAGAAAGAGGAGTCGGAGACGCGACTGGGGTCGCCGCCGAGAGAAGAAGTGCCGGTGAGAGAGCCGCTGGTGGAGTACGAACCGGAGGTAGAGATGGTAGATCGAGAGGATTCTCCGGAGATGCAAGTCGCTCGGATGTCGCGACCTGCTCCAGTCGGGGTGACGACGGAGCTGAAGACACCGGCGGCGGAGTCAGGGAAGCTGTTGACGAAGTTGGAATCGCCAGAGCATGAATCGAAGATGGTGTCGAGAATTGGCTTGCTCGCCGGTTGTCGGGCGAGCAGTTCGCCACCGAGAGAGGAAGGGCCGGAGAAGAAGGGTGACTCGCCGACCGAGAAAAAGCTGGTGGTGAGTCGATCGCCGGTCGATCCGCCGACGAGGAAAGGCTGGAAGTTGGGACGAACGAAGGGAGGCGGCTGTAGCGATCCTTCCCCTGCAACCGTAGGCCGCATGACGCAAATGGAGTCCAGGCCGCTGGGCCGGGTCATTTGGGCCATCTGTTCCAAAGATTCAACTAAGGTGGGTGTCGGTCAAGGGCAGGGCTTCGCTAAACTTCATCAGGTGAGTTGGGCCAAGAAAGAACTAGAAGCGGGGCAGCAAGGAGGAGGAAAGCTTGGAGCGAGCTGGGCAGTGTAAGCCGCCGAACGGGCCACAACTTCAGCTCGAGCAGGCTGCAAATGAAATTAGATTGGGCCGAGGCTAGACGATAGTGGGCTGTGGGCCGTATCAGCTGGAAGGAATAAAACGTAAGTTGGCCTGTGTTTTGAATAAAGCAGGCTTGGAGGAATTTTTTAAGTTGGTGGATGGGCTCAAGGGATTTAAATGTGGGCTTTCAACAAAGGTTAATTCAAAGCAACTTGGAGGAGAATGGAGCTCAAAAGAGTTGGTCTTCACCACTAAGTTCATAGAAGAATTTATGAGGCTTTCTCTTGAAGATTTCAAGCTGGTTCATGAGGAGGCGCTAAAAGAAGAACAGTTCTCAAATTCTCATTATGTGGATTTCAACAAGGTGGACGGAGACTTGTCTAACTATGGAGGACGTTACATGTGTCACGTAATTGGAGAAGATTCAAGGGAAGTTGAAGTCGCGAGAGACGAGTTCACTCGTGGAATCGAGCCCAACTGGAAACGAAGAAAGCGGAAGGTCAAGAAGATGAAAGTTGACTGCAACCTTGAGGACAAGGTTGCTTTTAAGGGGGATGGATTGTTAGAAACCCACCTTATGTGGGATTCTCTTATTATTTATGGTAGGATAATTATTAAGAATATTAGTAACTTGGGGGTTAAGTTTAGGGTTAGTATCAGGTTTATTCCGCTATTTCCTATAAATATGTATTCGACCATTCATTTACGATTAAGCAAAGATTAATCAAAGAACTATCTCCCTAAACCCTAATCTCTTTCTCTCTCAATCTCGTCTATCTCTCTCTCTCTCTCTCTCTCTCTCTCAAAAGCTTAGGCCGTTCTTCCTCAAATCCCTAAATTCTTCATCTAAACCCCTAATTTCTATTCTCAATCCCTAAATCCCTTTCTATCTATCCGAATACGTTAATTCTTAGGAATCCGAATAAGCGGGTTTCTAACATGCTGTTAACTTGATCTTTGGGTCTGATGGTGACTGACATCCTTTAGCATTCAAATATCCTGTATCAGCAAGCAAATCCATACAGTATTTTCTTTGACAGACCATCTACCAGCCAGGATTATATCATCCACATAGACAAGTAGGACAACAATTCTTCCATGAACGCACTTAGTAAACATGGAATAATCTGAAGATGACTGATAAAACCCACTTTTCAACAGAAAACCAGTTAACTTGGCAAACCATTGCCTTGAGGCCTGTTTAAGACCATATAATGACTTTTTTAGCTTGCAAGCCATCCTCTTAGGACTTCTAGGTGGTAATTCAATTCCCTGAGGTACCTGCATATACACATCTTCATGTAGGTCCCCATTTAGAAAAGCATTGGATACATCCAATTGCTCTAGGGTCTAGTTCTTCACTGCAGCTATGGCTAATAAGGCTTTTACTGAGTTGATTTTGGCCAGTGGGGAAAAAGTGTCCAGAAAATCTATCTCATATATTTGTGTAAAGCCTTTAGCCACCAGCCTTGCTTTGTACCTCTCAATTGTGCCATCTTGTTTCAGTTTGAGCTTGAATACCCACTTGCAACCAACTATGTGTTTGTCAGGTGGTGCTTCTACTATTTCCCAGGTCTGGTTTGCTTCTAGAGCATGTATCTCCTCTATCACAGCTCTATTCCATTCAATGGATTTGACGGCCTCATGATATGAGGTTGGTTCTTCATGCTTCAGCACACTCAAAGCATAAATTTTGTCCTGTTCATTCAAACATTCAATATTTAGACAGATGGGGTGCTTACTTGCGCATGCTGCTGTCCCAAATGCTCCAAATGTCAATTGAGGATCTAGTTCACAATCATTGAGCTTAGCAGGTAACACTGGATGCCTCTGTGATCTTCTTGGTGGTGGCTCAAAGTCAGCTTGTGGAAGTAGTTCACAGTCATGCTCAGTTGAAGCATCAGTACCTGCTTCAGGAGTGATATCTTCTACAATAGTTGCATCAACACCTGGAGCTTTTGATGGAGTTGCATCTTCACTTGGACTGTCATAGTCATCATCCCCCCTTACAGCTGAGGCCTGACCAAAGGAAACAGGTGTAGAAGTAGTAGGAAGGGAATATGTAGGAACCAAGATGGGAGGAGCTGGTGCTGAACACTGAACAGGTGGTGAACTGGAGGAAGAAACAGGTAAGTCTGATGTGTCTGTACAATCTCGAAAGGGGAGAATTGTTTCATAGAAGACAACATCTCTGGACAAGAAGACTTTCCTATCTTTTAAGTCAAGCAGTTTATATCCTTTAACTCCAGCAGGAATCCCAAGAAAAACACAATGTCTTGCCCTTGGTGCAAATTTGGTCATGTTATGCCCAAGGGTACTGGCATAACACAGACTACCAAAAACCTTATGATTACCAAGAAAAGGTTGATGGTTATACAACACTTCAAATGGGGATTTACCAGACAAAATGGGAGTTGGCATCCTGTTGATCAAGTGTACTGCATTAAGAATGCAGTCATTCCAAAAGGTAAGGGGTAAACCTGATTGGAACCTAAGAGACCTAGCCACATTCAATATGTGTTGGTGCTTTCGTTCAACCCTGGAATTTTGTTTTGGGGTCTCTACACAGGACATTTGATGCTCTATCCCTTTCTCCATAAAGAACTCCTTCATATGGAATTTCTGTCCTTAATCACTTATGATTATCTTGACAATGGTGTTAAATTGATTATGGACCAAGGCACAAAAACCCTTTAGCAATTCTCTTGTTTCATGTTTATGTTTCATTAAGTAAACCCACACTGCCCTTGTATGATCATCCACAATTGTAAGAAAATAAGAGTGACCATCATATGATTGAACAGATAAAGGTCCCCATATATCAACATGAACCAAGTCAAAAGCATTCTTAGCAATACTGGTACTGATGGGAAAAGGAAGGCGTTTGTGTTTTGAGAAATGACACACATCACAGTGTATAATCTTAGAGCTAGTTACAGTAGAATTTGATTTCTGCAACATGGAAATTCTATCACTACTAGCATGTCCTAATCTCCAATGCCAAAGGTCAAACTGCAAAGGATGAAAATTGAAGATGGTGGCTGCTTGATGGTCAGGCTTCTAGTCTTGGGATGAAGGTGGAAAGGTGAGGTGGTAAAGTCCCCTATGCTCTCTTGCTAACCCAATCATCTTCAAGCTTAATTGGTCCTGAATGTGACAAAGATTGGAATGAAAGTGTAAGACTAATGGATAGTCATTGGTAAGCTTACTCACTGAGATAAGGTTGAAAGAAAAGCTAGGAACAAAAAGAACATTGTGAAGAATCAAGCTTGTAGGTAGCCTAACTGTACCAATGTGAGTAACCAGAACCCTAACAGTGTTAGGTAGATTCACATAGACATCTTGAACTGGTTTATGCTCTATAAACAAAGCTAATGAACAAGAAATGTGATCTGAGGCACCTGTGTCTAAGATCCAAAGGTTTGAAACATTGGTTTGGTTAAACTGACTTGAGGTAGACAGGCTAAATTTACCTGAGTAAGTAGGATAAGGTGGTGGAATTTGAGTTACTGAGTAGGCATGATGAGGTAAAGATGGTGAGGTTGGAGGTGAAGGAAAGCTACCAATACCAGAATGCATCATGCTTCTTAACTTGTTCATTTCTTCTGGTGTAAAGCCAACCACTGTCTTAGAAGAACTTACTGGGCTACCTCCTGGTGTATCAGCTGAGCTAGAGTAGCTCACTTCAGTAGTGGATTCATTGGAACTTCCCTGTGGCACTGATCCTGCAAAGCTTGATGCATTGCCCTGTGATCGTCATGTTACTCCCCCCATTCTGCATTTCTCTCTTCTTCTTAGCTCTCCAGCATTGTTCAACATTGTGGTTTGTTCTCTTGCAGAAGATACAGAACTTCTTTCCCTATCCTCTTCGTCTCTCATCTTGCTCAGTCTCAACAGCCAATGCCACACTTTGAGCCCTTCTTCCACTATGAGCTTCTGCTCTCAATTTCTGCTCATATTGGAGTAGATCATCCACTGCTTCAGATACAGTGGGAAAAGGTTTACGAGAGAGTAACTGACTTTTAACAATCTCATAGTCTGGATATAAGCCCCTGAGAAACCTGATAAGGTAATTAGTTTCCTGCCTTTCAGTATAGGCCACAACAACATCACATGGATTCACATTTCCGGGTGCACAATTACATGGAACTATGGGACTGAATTGTGTTAGTTCCTCCCAGATTCCCTTAATCTCATTGTGATACTGATTGATAGTGCGATTCCCTTGTTTGCACTTGTGGATGTCGTCTTTTCAGCTCATCCCACAGTACCTTAGCACTAACATGATTCATCACTGAACGTCTGAGATCTTTGTGCAGGGAATTCAAAATCCATGATAACACAGCTGTGTTACATCCATCCCACAACAGAAATGTATCATCAGTCACTGGAGGCGTTGGTATGCTTCCATCGATGAAACTCACTTTGTGTTTCATCTTCAAACCCATTATCACATATCTACTCCACATGATGTAATTCGTCCCATCAAACACCTCTGAACCTATAGATTGATTCAGTGCTTGATTAGGGTTCAAGTAGAATGGGTTACCAAAGATTATCACCTCAGATCTGTTAGTGTTTTGTCGCTGCTGCTCGTGCTGCTCTGGCTCAGTGTAAGTGCCAAACTGGAAACCTCGAACATTGGAACCAGTTGCGCCTGAGAGTGCTGATCCACTTGCAGCTTCCTTTCCATAGCTCGTCTTCGGTGTTGTGTTTGCCATTGTAGCCCTAGATGTGTCGCCGCTTTGATACCATATGGAGAATTTGCTAGGGTAAGTGGCAAAACCCTCAAAGCTGCAGGGGTTTCTCTGTTGCAGTATATATATCAGCTGAAGAAATCAGCTTAGTTCAGACTGCCACTTGGCAATCAACAACTGGCCTATTACAAACCAAAACACTGTTTAATAACGGCTAATAGGACTTAGGGGAAACGACGTAGTTTAGGTAATAACAACTAAAGCAACAACAGAACGGTAGCGTTTTGATTCTTCTCCTTCTTCACTTCGCTTCATCTTTCCAATCCTTCCAGCATCAGGATTCCAGGTCAGTTGACATCCTATGCCAACCCTAAAAATTTTCTCTATTGTCGGAAGCCGTGAAAGCCAAATGTGGA